TGAAAGCTTTCACCCTGGCTGCGCGTTTTATTGTCATATGATAGCCCCGCTGGGTGCTTTTTTATAGGGAATGACGCTTCCAGCCTCTCTTCCTCCACTCTATGTGAGTTTATGGTGATTATGCACTGCATGAGCCCTGGGCTTCGGCCCCCGGGACTTTGGTGTTGGATCCCTGTACGCACGGCGTGTTGCATTGTGTTCCCCTAGCGTAAGCTATTACGCAGTACGAGAGATACTCTCGTAAGAGAACGTACTCGGTTACTAACGTAACCTCGGTTCTCTCTAGAGAGGGAACGAGTACTGCGTATCTTGCCGTGCTTGGAATACGCTCTGGTTCGCTTCAGCGATAAAAACCAGCTTGTACCAGCCTAACGAGCATATTTATAGGGTGAGACCACGCCCCTTCTGGCGGGACGTGACGATATGGGCGCGAATTGCCCCCATTGGTCATTACGTCACGCAGAGTCTCTCTCGATAGGCTGCTGCATTTGCTGCAGAGCAACCAATAGGCGCGCAAGCTGTTTCGCCTATGTCTGCTTGCTGCTGCAAAGCGTTTTACATTAATAAAAAATTAAGGATAATTTTTGGCTTCAATATCTCGTGGAAAAGAGTTTTTCCCCTAGCGTAAGCTATTACGCAGTACTCGTTCCCTCTCTAGAGAGAACCGAGGTTACGTTAGTAACCGAGTACGTTTTGCGGCTCACAGGCACCAGGGGGGTGCGAGACGACCACCATTTAAACACGAAATCAGTAATATAAACATTACAATGACTCCAAAGCTGTTCGGTTAAGGTAAAAAAGTTACTTAGTTCACCTTTAACTGTTCCATTCCATGCCGATCCGTCCCAGCCGGTATGGATATGGGTTTCTTTTTCCACTGTTTGTGGGGTTGATAACGGTGCTCTTTGGAATGTAATACAAATGCGACGATATGAGATATAAATAGTGACCATGTTATGAAAGATGATCAGATATTTTTATTATTAACTTGTTTACTTTGTTCAAATAATGTGCCTGGTCAGCTACAGAGAAACTAGTAGCCAGGCAACAGACAAGTGACCAATCCTGAGTGGCGCTGTCACTACACACATTCTACCAGCAGAGTTAGCCAACCGTGCTGAGAATTCTGGGCTGAGAACTGCAGTGATGACATTCTTTTGTAGGCCAATCTGGAAGTTGGTATCACTCTGGTTCCCTCAACAGAAACCCAATGAGATTTGTACATTGGCATTTGGATTATTGCAGAAAATAAGCTCTAGGACCAACCAAAAATTCGTACACGTTTTGTTCATCAAGATAATCTTTACAAATTAATGCAACTTTAATGAATTTTGAAGGTAGACTATAAATGAAGCACACGACAGGAATAGATTAGATGTGGTTGGACCGATGCAGCTGATGTCAGTGGCTGTCCCAAAACAGGGTTCAATTTTATTTTGGCCATTAGGGAAACCTGAAAGGCATAATATGCTTGCATGAAATACACCAAACAAATGCTGTTTGTCGGCTTCTCATTTGAATTCCCAGCATTGACATGGGCGCAGATGTTTATTGGAGAAAAATCACATTTTTGTAAACATGTATTCATTCAAGACTCATAAGCATTGGGCACATCAGCATAATGCCTGAATCTGTTTCATATGCAGCTCGTAAAATATTCATTCCAAGTCACCCATAGGTGATAAAACAACAGACGCATGTAAATGCAATGCATTGTAATGGGCTACACAGATAAATGTAGGACATCATCCCGGTCTCAACGTGTATGATAGAGGTGACTTTCACTTTAATATATGCTTTTATATAAAATCGTCCCCATCCCGGACATCTGATGCAAACCATTTTAAAGGTATATAGATCTATACGATAAAAGCATGAGGCTGCTACTTTACAGCCGTTTTTCACAACGTCCCAATAAAAGACATCCAAATCATCAGTCACATCTACGGGCTTTGATTGATGAAGGAGCTGAGAGGTCCTGTATATAGTGGCGGACACCACACCCCTGATTTGCAAACGCTGCCGTGAGCTGCATTCAGACGTTCGGTGGTGATATTGCACTTGGAGGTTTAAAGCGGAGGCTAGGGTTCTGCTTATTGTTTTTTTCCCTCCCCTCTAACTGTTGGACTGGGAACGCAGCTGGCACGCCTAATGCAGTAATGGCGGAGGTTTAATTAGGAAGGGAGGGTAATGAATCTGGCAGGGGCCGGGCCGGGAGGGAAAGTGACGCAGGACGCAGCGGTGCTGCAGCCCGGCTCCTCTTTACAGCTCCACGTCACGTCTCGGAGCCACCACATTAATCATATGGCAGCAGAAATAAAGCCGAGCATCCGTAATACTTACAAATGGCGAGCCAGTGCAACTGAAGGACAAGGAAAGGTCGTAGCACCCTGGCATCAAAGACAGCGTCGTATACAAAAACAAAGGGGCAGTGGAATAACATCACCCCCTCACACACACTCGCATCCTAGTGTGATCTTCCATTTACCCCTGCACACATTAACAGTTATAAATGGGATGGCTGAAAGACAAGGACAGAAGGAGGACAAAGTGTCTAAAAATGGAGTCCTGTGTATAGAAAATGGCTGATCTTTCACTAAAAGCGAGCGGGATATTTCCCGGCGCTAGATGTTTGCACCTGCAAATTGAAAACATGCATTACGAACATAATGATCCCATTTCGCTTCTGCGGTTTCTGTGTTTAAGCAGGCACAATCATGGTGAAATATCTACCCCCGCGCTGAGATGTAATTAACCGAGGTGGTTATTTTGGGGACTGTTTTCATTAACGTGTAAGATCAAGTCCATCTGCTGAATCTCAAATAAGAGCGTGTGTAGGTGGGGAGCAAGGCAAGGTCAGTCCATTAACTGAAACGTGAAATATTGTGACCTCTGACAGCGCCCTGTGGAATTTAGCTGACACGTCAATAGTTAATACTCATAAAAACGTGTAATCCACCTCACAGGACTGGAGGACTTAAAGGGATACTCCACCAAAAAATGAGAATTCTCTCATTTATGTATATGATTTTCTTTCTGCAGATGACTACAAATATTTTTAGAAAAATAATCATCTATGCGAGTCCACATAATGCAAGTGGACATTAACCCAAAAGTTGACGCCTCAAAAACCAGACAAAACAAACATGATGGTAATCAATACATGCGACCCCAGTGGATGAAGCGAAACGAAGCAACTATAGCAACTTCTAATATAAACCATCGCTTCCTTCCAACTTTATGAGTTCACGCTCTATATAAACAAGAGCATGTTAAGAAGCATGATGTAAGCACTTATGTCACGGATCACAACGTAGCGCTTCACGATGTTCTCATGAACCCACGTATGACAGTTGTCCGAAAGCGATGGTTTATAGTTTAAATATGTTTGAATATTAGTATTTTTCTTACACCTATCGTTTTGCTTCACTAAATATTGATTTATCAACTGGGGTCGTATGGATTACCGTCATGATTGTGTGTTTTTTTTAAGTTTTTTTTACGTTAACTCTTGGGTTGCTGTCCACTGGCATTATATGAGGGCTTTTCACACTTGAACTAGTTAACACTGGGTCATTGTAACCCTTGGTAAACAGAATCCATCTTCCTTCACATTTCACTCTGCTCGTACTTTAGGGTTAACAATTAATCCTGGGTATTCATAAATGTCATACTGTACATTCCTGAACCCTGGGTTAATGTTCTTATTTGCGGTGTCAGTCTCATTGATTGGACGCATGCATAATGTGACCTGTTTCAAGTCTCTAGCATTGAGCATGCTCGTATTATACAGTGCTGACTGTGCAATCAAGATTTCCTTGAATGAGGGTGAGTACTACAGACGATCAGAGAATTAAAACCCCTCAAGCCCCTTTCACGCAGAGCTTTTATCCCAGAAAACTGCCATAGATATTGCTAGAGTGCCTTCTGTGTGAACGCAAACATGTCCCAGGATGGGGACCTAGTAACAATAGGGGTTTTCGCACCGGAGAAACCTTTCATAGTTCCTATAACTGTTGGCTACCCGGATTTTGGCGTGTTCACACCGAACTAGGAACTATTTTAGTTCTAGGAACTCCTTTCGGAGGAACTAAGTTAGCTCCTACTTCAGAGTAGGGTCTAAACCAGCACTATAGGAACTACCAGTGACGTTACTGTTTGCGGATTGGCTGAACGCACGCAAAACACCGGCACCTGCCATTTTTAAAAAAGCAGTGTAACTCCAGAAACTAACTCTACAAACATTGAAAACAGTGATGGATGGCCAATCAAGCAAAGCATGATTATGTATTTCTGCTCAGCTAGCGACATTGGGCATCAACCACACGGCATACGCTAATACCTTTTCATGTACTGTCTACTTTCTCTGTATAACAGTTCTATCTAATAACGTATTAGACAGGACTGTTAAACAGGTGTTAAACAAATAAAGGGAGCTCAGGCTCTGGTGTTCTCAGCACCGTCAAAATAAAAGTTACAACAAAAAGCGCGGCTTACGTCACTTCAGAGTTCCTACTGGCGGTGTGAATGCAACCAGGAAAACGTTCCTGGGGGAACTATTAGTTCTCGGGGAACCACCCTGGTGGCTAGTTTCTAAAACTAAGTTCCTAGAACTACCCAGTGCAAAAGCCACTATTGCTGGGATCAGTCCCAACAAAAGTGAACAAAAGGCAGGACCAAGGGGTGCGTCATAGTGACGACGGACGCGTCTTCGCAATGGTGTAGTTATCGTGCAACTCTTTGACCAGGGGTTTTCAATGCAGGTCAATTTTCACATTGCACAGTAACAAAGAAGCAAGTTTGTTTTCATCATCCTGATGTCACGTGTCTTTACTAGGATGTGTGTGAACGCAGGAATCAAATCAAACGATCCCGGGACACATTATCAGTGTATTTTCCGGAATCTCTGTGTGAAAGGGGTTTAATAAAAGCGCATTGTTTAAGGTGAAGCGTGTGAATAATGTGCTTCTTGACCGATCAACACCTGTGCTGTATTGCAGGAGGACGAGGCGGGAGACGGGAGATTCAGCTTCTCCGCCTACGGCATGGGTCCGGCGTGTCTCCAGGGCAAAGACGGCATGGCCATCAAGGGCAACAACAACAACGCACCCACCTCCACCAACCCCCCTGAGAAGACCGTAGAGGAGATGCGCAAGCTCTTCATCAGCCGCGCCAAACGGATCGACACAGTGTCGCGTGTGGCCTTTCCACTGGTCTTCCTCATTTTTAACATTTTCTACTGGATCATTTACAAGATCATCCGCAGCGAGGATGTTCACAATATGAAGTAAATAATGCAGTAAAGAGATCCGAATACACCCGTCTCTACACCCCTCCCCACGTCCCACCGTGCCCGCCTTTCTCTCACTGCAGTGCTCTCACTCGCTGTCGGTGATGACGAGTCCCCGGCAGAGGTATTTATTCCTCGTTTTTTTCCGTCTTTTTCTCTCCTGTCCTCCTGAATAATCCGGACCTGTGCAATAGCAATGCAGTAAAATGCATGATATATGAATGTGGCAATATATTTACTAAAAAAAATGAAAATGACTCAAAGTAAATATTCAACTTAAGAACTTCTGAACTGATGACTGGGAATCCAAGTGGAAAACTTGTACAACTTTTTTTGCAACTTGAAGACGCACTGCATTGCGAGAATATGGAGAAACATTACTGCTGTAATATATCATATATTTAAATGATAATACTTCCATAAGAAAGTGATTGAAAATTCGACTTTTTTTTGGTGTCTCGAGGCAGTTTGGGGCTTCCATGATTATACGATGAAAACGTCGCAGAGACCGACATTTGTTTCGGTACAGTACATGTGTCCTGGATGTTTCATTCTGATGTCGATTATTAATGGATCTTGATGAGTGCCAGTGAAAAAAATAGATATATTTATTCGAGCTGTGGTCAATGTGTTCCTCTATCTGTGCTCATTTAAACTTTTTTTATTATTATTTTTAAACATCAGGTTATGTTCTGTTCATGTGCCAAACGTCATCTTTTAGGTTGACCAAAAAAAATGACAATTTCATTTATTTATTTACGTGTTCACCGTTTGATATATTAAAAGCCAAAGCAACCCTGCTACGGGTTGAGAGGGGGGAAATACAAATAATTTATTAGATATATCTAGATACATGTAAAACAAATAAAATATACCTTTAAGCATTTTTTTTTCTCTTTGCATTCTTTTGTTTTGCCATCGTTTTCATCATCTCCGAGTATGTCAGAAACGGGCAGAAAGAAAAGCAAATGGATCTTTCATATCTCATACTTCAACAGTGTTATTTTTATAAGCTTGGTTTAGCAGTACAGCCAGTGCCATGATACTAGATGTATATTTCCAACCAAATGTATATTACAGTGATTTTTTGTTTTCTTTCAAATCTATATGTATACACACTGCATTGTGCAACAGAATAAAAAAAGTGCACAAAGGTTTAGTTTGTAAAATGTAGGATGCATCTTCATCTGGCTTCTCTATGCAATAATCCTATATGCAATTATTTTCAGTGTTCATCATGTTGAATATGGCCGTTTTATTCCGAAGGCCCCAAAAGATGCTATTTCGTACGTGTTCGATTTTCTCTTCCAGTCATGCTCATTTGCTGTCTATGCATGGCGAGGCTTTTTTGTGTGTGGTGCAGATGATATAGATGTCATTTTTCACTTTTGTAATGTTTTGTTTGACTACCGAACTGAAGAGAAACACCATTATACAAAGTGAGCATGTGTCCAGACTGTGTGATAGATGCTCTGTGTAGGATATGCAAGATTTTGCCATGCGTGACATATATATATATATATATTTTTTTTTTTAGTTTGTTTAAAACCAAAGAGCAGTTTTGTTACTCTGTAGTCAATTTGCCTTTCCGGTTTTTGACCATTTTTTGTCGTCTCCATTTCGTCCTGTTTGACATTGACCAATTTTGTAAGACCTGTAACATTTGTAATTTATTCCGTTTTTCAAACATTTATTCGAGAAAACCTACAAGCATATATCTTTATACACTGCGACTTGTCAGACATTTTGTGACAGAAAAATATTACCAAGAAATCCAAAACTCGCATCTAGGTCCAAATGGTATCATGATGTTTTGTTGTACGCATAGATTTTTGGTTGAGAGTGAAGCTAAATAAGTTCATAGGTAATTGATGGCACATTTATGATTTTTTTATTCCATTTATTTGATCAATCATTTATTGGTTTCAATGGCCAGGCATCATGGTAAATTTGAAGGGCTATTTTTGATTCTTAACATCAAATCTTCTCCCTCAAATGAATCGGCTTGTGATAAAGTGCTCAAATGTGTGATCTGAAAACTGGTTTATACCTCACCGGTGAAGACACTGGGTTACACTATATATTAGACCTCGCTGTATGATACGTTAAGCAGAAGCTGAGTTCTACTCGAGAACATTGTAATGTGAAACGCTATCTACATGCAGCACAATGTAGCAAGAACACATTTCACACATCATTTGAATGTTCACACGTGATGAATTGTGCTGAAAGGAGTGTTCACGACTGGATCTGTAACATTACAAACGATATAAATCATTGTTGTTTCATTCTTCCGGCAGGTCCTGTCTGTGTGAGACTGATAGAGGCACACGATGTATGATATACATCACAGTGTACAGTGTGGAAAGTCATAAAGTTGCTTTATACACTCGATGTGCTCATTCTTGAAATGGGAAACGCAAATATGTAGTCAAAAACACATTTAGAGAACATTTGTAGAAAAATACGTTCAGCTTCATGTCGCTGTTAATGAGTGATTTCTTTCTTGATGAACCCTGCTTAAGGCTATTGACGATGTTGCTGGACTGTCCCGTGTGTGAATGACAGCAGTGACGCCCCGGGCCCTCACACACGCAATACACACATGACGAGTTATAACAAATAATACTGGCTCGGGAACACAAGGACAATGTGATGTGAAACATGTGCTATATGCAAATACGATTTGTTATTTGGCTTAATAATCATGAAAATGTCCTGATGATTTCTGAATCTTATTTTGAGGCATGTTTCTTTTGTGTGTGTTTGTCATTTGTTTATTGATTTGTCCTGGTTTGATTTAATGCCACCTTGGATTCGATCGCAACTGCCCAGGAAGTGGTGATCTCTGAGTGATGATTGGCATGGCCATCATTTGTAACTTATGTACGCAAAACTGTGGGTAAAATTTTATTTTTGCACAAGTTGGTATGGCCTTAATTTTGGGGTTTATTTGCTTCTATTGTGGATCGGCACAAAGTGCATCTCTTCATTTGCTTCTTGTCATACTCCGAGTGCACTTCCAAGCAGTGGAAAGAACAGCAAATTCTTATTTTTTATGTTCCAATACTAAAACATGGAATTTTTTGCATGAATAGAATTAAATGGCAGATATTTTTGGCTTGTACAGAAATGTGAGCAATTTGAAGAAAAACGGAATGTACCATTTCTGCTATATCTGTATATAACACAATATTTATTGAAATATGTCATAATGCTAAATCTAATTCTATTAAAGGTTTTCTGAACTAAAACATCTGAACAGTTTGTGAGAATTGTGAAATTTGTGTGAGCTAAACTAAGAATCACCATGATCTTTGGGTCAATCGTGTGTTTTGTGATTGTATACCCTAGAGAGAGATTGGGTGGGGGTGGGGGTGGGGGTGGGAGGGAGGGGGGGGGGGGGGGGGGAGCATATAAATATATATATACATACATACATACATAGTGCTCACCGTAAATGAGTACACCCCCTTTGAAAAGTAACATTTTAAACAATGTCCAAAATGTTGACAAGACTAAGTTTAATATAACATCTGTTTAACTTGTAACATGAACGTAAGGTTAATAATATAACTTAGAATACACATTTTTCAGTTTAACTCAAATTAGTGTGATGCAAAAATGAGTACATCTCACTGAAAGTATAGAGCAAAGCTACATTTGATACTACAAATGTCTAATTTACCAAGAATTCAACCACAGGTGAGTCTGATAATAATTTGTCACACAGGTGTCCAGCAGACAGTCGACTATGAAAGAGTGTTACTTCATATTTCATGCTTTTTTTAGTACAGACATTTGTAGTACAAAATGTAGCTTTGCTCTAATACTTTCAGTGGGATGTACTTATTTTTGCATCACCCTAATTTGAGAGAAACTGAACATTTTGTTCTTTAAGTTATATTATTAACCTTACTTTAATGTTATAAGTTAAACAGATGTTATATTAAACTTAGTCCTGTCAACATTTTGGAAATGAAATGGTTTTTCTGTTAAAAATGTATTATTTAAAGATATTGTTAAAAATGTTACTTTTCAAAGGGGGTGTACTCATTTACGCTGAGCATATACCTGACCTGTGTATATACAGGTATACCGGTATACATGTGTGTGTGTGTGTGTGTGTGTGTGTATATATATATATATATATATATATATGTATATGTATATGTGTGTGTGTTTATGTAGATATATATATATATTTTTTTTATTATTATTATTTATATATATATATATGTGTGAATAGTAATGAACACAACTTTCAGGCACAATTGATTGACAAATAAACTGTGCGCACCTATTTCATTGTTTTCAGTAAACAGTTTGCTCCGTACATTCAGTTTAACAGCATTAAAAAGAGAAAATGTTATCATTCAAATTAACTGTGTGCATTTTAAAACACATTCTGTTCTTCGTTCATGCAAAGACGGTAATATCTGAAATCCTTGTCCTTGTGGGGACATTTTTGGGTTGCTATGAGGAAAAGCTTATAAATCATACTAGATTCTGTTTTTTTGAAAATGCTGTGATGTGAAAATGTAAAAATGTTTTCTGTGATGGGTAGGGTTAGAGTTAGGGGAGAGAATATACATTTTGTACAGTATAAAAATCATTATGTCTTTGGAATGTTCTATGACGTGTGTGTGTGTGTGTGTGTGTGTGTGTGTGTGTGTGTGTGTGTGTGTGTGTGTGTGTGTGTGTGTGTGTGTGTGTGTGTGTGTGTGTGTGTGTGTGTGTGTGTGTGTGTGTGTGTGTGTGTGTGTGTGTGTGTGTGTGTGTGTGTGTGTGTGTGTGTGTGTGAATCTATTTATTTATTCCAAAAGAAAATGCATTCACTCTGACAATGACGTCTTGACATCTATGTTGAGCATATATTGTAATTTCTGAACTTCAATTTTTTTTATATATACTTTTGTGGTGCATACATTTAAAAAATAAAAAATACAGGATATGCCCATAATAAAGAAAAACAAAATCTTATTAAAGAGCTGACATCCTTACAAGGTTTTATATTATATTAACATTATTTTGTTATCATTTCTAAAAAGCAGTAAGTGAAGAAGTTATGTTACTGCTATGATAAAAATGTGTCAAGTCAAAGTATGATACATATCTTAAATGCAGGAAGCCATTTCATAGTCGTAACAAAACCCCAAAAATATACAAATGAAAATATCAGAGAAGATATAAGGTCTGTTTTGTTTATTGGTTGTTGCAATTTTATATATAAAATATATGTATAAAAAAATGTATATATGTTTTATATATATATATATATATATAATAGATAAATAATAGTAACCAGTAAACTGATGAAATATTTTTCTTTATGGATATATTTTAATGCAGCAGATAAATTGTTTGTCCCTTCATGCACGGTTTCAACTATTTTAGAGGAATGACATTTTTTAATATGGTGCTGTAGTCCTTATTTAAAATTTAAAATTCAAAGTCACATTGAATATTGATATTGTTTTAATATTATTTCGAAGCATTTTTTTTTTTTTTTTTTTAGCTTCATAAACCCCAAACAATTTTTAGAGGAAAGTCAATTAAGCAGATTCAGGCACTGGAAAGTATACACTTTGCAAGAATTTCCCAGAGGCCCTGTAATGGCTGCATTTGAATACATCCATACTCGGCCTTATGGCCATCCTTGCTCAAGCTTTTAAATTATGCAAGTGGATTATGAACCACAAAAGCTCAGTCAATTTGTCCCCTCGCTTGAGTAGTCTGGAGACCACCCGCCCCTCTGACTGCCCTGCGCTTTACAG